CCGGTCCCGATCCCAATCCCGTCGGGATCGGGATCGGGATCCCGAACAATACCTCAGTGAGATTGAAACCGGGATCCCGATCTCGATCCCGACGAGATTGGGACCGGGTTCGGGAAAAAAATAGGGATCGGGATAATCCCGCCGGACCCTATCGGTAGTGCACTCGCTATGTCATTATTTGGGTAGTCGTAGTCGACAACAATGGTAAAATTTGAACACGCATAGAGATCTTTTATTGAAGAACAAAGCAGTATCTTTATAGTACATCAAGCATGTCTTGCACTTACTTGTAGTTGTTGTTATCATTTCTGTTTGAGAAAAATGCCAATGATGAATGATCATTCAAATTAAGAAAGAGCTTATCTCTGATGTACCACTTACGGCTCGTAGTAGCTGCATTATTAGAAACGCTACCATTACTTGCAAATGTGTAGGTGAGAACAACCGGAAGTATAATAGCAGCTGAACATAGCAAGACAAGTGATAAATCAAACAGAATGCGTCGTAGTAGTGCTTTTTTCCTAAAGTTTATACCCCTTATTTCTAGCTATTGAAGTGAGAAAAGTGCTATACTTTACTAGACTTTGCAGTAGATTAAACAATGTCATAGGGGACCTTATTATTAGCGGATCATTTATCACCAAATCTTGACACTGCGTTTCTGGTGTCCATAAATCCGTTGACTGTCTTCATTTCACGTCAATTTGTTCATTATTGGACTAAAAAATATAATATCTCTCATAATAAAGCAGTTTGTCATCTCGTTTTTACTTACGCTTGTGAGGCTATGAGCTGGTAGATGAAATTGAGTCATACCATGAGGTATCTGCAACTCCGGCTGAAAAGAACCTCTCTCAAAATTTCTATACATATAGTAAAATTCGATAAACATACCCCTACTTGAGCGGCCCACGAATAAGATGAGCTAACGATAGTTGGTTGGAATAATTCAATGAGTGATTGCATGGATGGTGGCTGTAAAGGCTTTCGATTTAGTTAGCACAACAAATAGAATTTTTAAATTTGCAGTTACCGGTCGAGGTGCACTACTTGTCAATATATACGATGATGGAACTGTTGGATACCATTCATCTTCTAATCTTGTTGTAGGCAGCATATCCAGTGGCAATTATGCAAGTTGAAAAGTTGACCTGCTATAGTCTTTGACTACACTATACTTTAGCGAAAAAATAGTAATCAATAAATAATTATATATTATTGTGTACTCAGAGAGGCTTTTTATACGATTATGCGAAGCCATATTTGCATATTTAATTATTAAAGTTGAGAAGTCACGCAGTTTTAATAAAAAGAATTTCGATGCTGATTAACCCCCCCAATCCCCCATAATAGAAGACCACCTGGTCTTCTGTTTTGTCCAGCAAGTCGAGTTCTAAAGGATGGTCTTTTATTACGGTCTTCGCTTGCTATTAAAGTTATTAATTTTTTCGCTTGCTAGTAAAGCCAGAAAGTGTTTTTTATATCAAAATAAGTATTATGTTACGATTTTATTAATATTTTCTTGTTTTCGTTACCTGTTTTGAAGAAAAATAGGTGTAGTTACAAGAAAATATCATCATAAAAAATTGTAATGATCTTAATTAACAACTATTTTTTTCTACCAAAATAGAAACATTTTCACTCTAGGTTTTACTTTTTATTCCAGATTGAAAGCAGTGTGTTTTGATTCATTTGTATCGGTTTCTTTTTAACAGTAAATTTTGCTTTCTCCTTTCCGTTTATGTCTTAAATTCTAGTCCGACCATAGTATGAAAAAATTCTGAGAAGGATTTCATAATAAAACTGAAAATTAGGGGATATCCCCGTTTCTTCTCAAATTTACGTCTCGGATGTTCATATTATCTAAATTAGTTTTTTCTATGCCTTCTACAGAATGAAGCTCGATTTCAAAAGAAAAAGATGCTGCTCTCTTATTTCCTGAGCTATGTTTTTCACCCATATCCTATGATACAACAATATCTGTTGTGTTTTATTCTTCATTCAGAACAAAAAAGTACACATCATTGAATGAACTGTATTTATCCACATCTTATTGTCAAAGTTAATTCCACTTGTGTTTTTTTGATAAATAAATACTAAAACGGCTCTTGACTACGTAATCAAGAGTACGTAATCATTAGTACGTAATACGAGTAAAAGCATCTTCTTTTATGCCAATTTTACATGTACAAAAGCATGCTAGAAGGTATTTGTAATTCAAAGAAATCAACTAATCTAGAAATGGATGAAAAATGATAACTGCTAGTCTGTAGGAATGTAGCATTTAAATCTTGCGTATGTAATCTTCGTAGGTTAGACGTTAGTATAAGCAAGCAACCGAGATCAATTGTACATAAGAAATAAAAACATAACTTTTCTTTTAGATTAGAATTGTGAGAGACTGATGACTACATTTTCCATCAGATCGGTCGTTAACCCTTCGATTACGGGGCCCGTATATATACGTTTTGAGCTTTTGCTCAGATTACGGCTGTTATGACCTTCCCACTTTGTCAGATCATAAGAATACCCTCTCTTTCTCTCACGTTGCCAGTGTCACAGCGTCATCGTGTAGCACTAACATGTATGTATACATCCTCCTTCTCTTGCAAGTAGTAACAAAATCAATTTTTTTGTCATCTTTCTAAAAAAATCGTAATCAAAGGGTTAAACGTATCATCTAATGACTTTCTCTTTCAATCGTCGTGCATTGGTAATTTTCTTGAAGGTTGCATTTATTTTTTAAGTCTCTTCTCTCGAAAATATTTTAAATACAGAACGTTCGATCTCGACGAAGTCTTCAGTAAATGTTATTCATATCAGAATTAGATTACAGTACAATTTTCGACTCTAGATGTCATGTTTTCCTCGAGTTATTCATAAAATAGTATCCAAAACGTCGGTGTCGGCACTACCCACATTTTCCTGCCATTTGAAGTGCTAAAATGCTCGAGTTGCTCTTAGAAATGTAGCCAGGAGTTGGCACTACAACTTAACAGATCCAGATTTTTGACTTCGGCTTATGAGGGAACGTTCCCAACTGATAAATCGCTTTCAGACTGAAACCTCGTGAGCTATAGGTAGTCGACCGTGCTGATTTCGAATATCAACTTGAGACGTGCTACTGGGCCTCCACAGACTGTTTTTCTAGAAACTCCAGAAAATCTCCGAATCTTTTCTTAATAAGTCATGTTTGTAGCGCACGAAAATCTGATTAAACTGCGACATCCTTCAGCTCTACACGATCTTTCTTTGCAAAGTTATAGAATCTAGAAGAAAAGCTCTAATGTTCATTGTCAGCTCAGGGATATAGAAAGAAAAAGGAATTTAGGGCTCTTCTTGTAAATTCTATTACCTTCTCAGAGAAAGAGTGTGTAGAGCTGAGGGATGTCTTATTTTAATCAGACTTTTCGCGCGCTACAAAGATGACTTATTAAGAAAAGTTTCGGAGATTTTCTGAAGTTTTTGGAAAACTGCTTTTCCAGAAAACAGTCTCTGGTGGCCCAGCAGAACGTCTCAAGTTGATATTCGAAATCAGCACGGTCGACCATCTATAGTCCACTAGGTTTCGGCCCGAAAGCGATGTATCAGTTGGGAACGTTCCCTCGTTAGCTTTTAACAAAAAGAAAATGTTTCCACGAAACTAACTATCTGAGTGTTTATGAAAAATCCCTAAAACATACATCGCTAAGAATAAAAGCTATAGCACGTTTGAAAGTGGGAGGGTTAATGAGTTGCTACGTAGGAACATAACTTTTAACTAGTCATTTTTTTATTTAGCATACAAGAAAATTTATTAGAAACTATTTTCATCTATTTTGGTCTTACTTGTAACGAGAAATACCTGAAAACTGCCTAAATCGTTAGAGTTCTTACTACCTAGAAATCCATGGACGGAATGCAGTTCGTTTTCATTCTCTTCAAAATACAACTAGCGGATTCAATGTCAACGAGGAAGAATAAGTTGAAAATCTATTTGAGTAACATTGTAAAATAACTGGAATGTATCGAATTTTACACAATTTGTATTCGTTGGAAGAGTCGAACTAGACAGAACATATATGATACACATATATTACTCTAGAGATTTCGCGATAGTTTTTATCCCTCCAGAACTCTCGAAAACTTAAATAGATCTTGCCGATGACGCATAAAGATGATCTGTAGGAAAATATACCCTAGTTTGATGCGTTAGTGCTATGTAAGAAATCTTAAAATACGCGATAGGCGATTGCGACTGCGATAGTAACGAAAACAGCCTTCATTATGTATTTAACCGTTGATGGTTTTGGAAGATGTCGTTCTATTGTTGATGGACCAATTGTTGGTAATGATCGACATTCTTCATTCTCATGCAGTTGTTCAGTGTCATTCCATAGTAGTAGTGTATTTGGATTTAAACAATCTTTAATAATATCGAATGCTGCCTTTTCTCCACTTTGTACAGCTCCATCCATATAACCAGACCATTGTGTCGCTAATTCTGTACCAGCAAAGTATACTTGTTTAGCTACCGGGGTTCTTAGTTCTTGCTTAATTGTTGTTAATAAATCTACTGGCATTATGTCCGTATAGCATCCTCCTGAATAAATTTCTTCATTCCAATCTTGTTCAATATAGTTAATGGGTTTCAGCGCTTCTTTCGAATTGAATGCATTTGAATATTGCTCACATATCGCTAATTTTCGCTCATCTTTTGTTTGTTTTTGATAGAATCGACCAGATTTGGCTACTACAAAACCCATAATAGCGTGTATATTATTCTCAAATGAATCATCATACGAATAAACAACTGGTTGTTTAGTCGATGTATCAAGTAAAATACCAGAATAACCATTTTCTTTCCAAAATGGTTTGGAATAGAATGTTATCGTTTTGATTATAGAGCCCATATACATTTGATTTGTTGCTAATTGCTTTTTTTCTGGTAGTGGAGGTTGAAAATCTATTGTTTTATACAACGACGGTGCGATAGCAAGCAGAACATGTTTACATTGAAATATCATTTTATTCTTACATTCGATTATTATCAATTTATCTGATTTATCCCATTGAATTTTTTCAATTGGACAATCTAATTTTATTTTATTTTCACCTAACTTCTCACGTAATTTATTTGATATTTGTTGAGAACCATTAATGAATTTCCTCTCTTGTGCTCCATTTTCTGCCTGACATAATCTCATTACACCTTGACCCGAGTTTACATAGTTCAACCATGCTAGCATCGATAATTCATTCGGTTCAACACAGACTATCCCACGAATGACTGATGCATACATTTCTTTACCTTGTTCCGTTTCTGATAAACTATTTATCCATTCTTGAACTGACATATGATCATATTTGTGCATTTGTGTATTTGACCATGGTTCGGTCGATGTAATAGTTTCACTTAGTTTCTGTGTTTGACATAGTAAATAATTGACATCCAGTAAAGTAAATGGTGAAAGATTGTTCGGCACTGTACCAGAATATTCATATCGTTTATTATTTGAAAATGTTAAAATATTTTTACCATCACAATAAACTTTTTTTGTTTTTATATTAAATTCTCTTGCTAAACGTAAAATGCGATTTTGAGTTGGACCTACATAAGCACCGCCCACATCGACATAATGACCATTAACGTTAATGGTACAAGTTCGACCGCCAACACGATCTCTGGCTTCCAGCACAAGATAATTATTGTAATTATTCGTTGTCAAATAATTAGCCGCTGACAGTCCTGATAAACCACCGCCGATAATTATTACATCGAAAATATGATCTGCTCTTTCTGTCATTTTTATCGACAGGCAAATAAGAGTACAATCTATTCTAAAAGATTAACAAGAATATCAATAAATTACTGACAGGTCTTGATGGGTCAATGCATCCTTGTTACATGTAGAATATAGCTGTCTATGAGACATATATCATCTGCGAACATTTAAAGAAGAATCAGTTTACTCTATAATATGTAATATTTATTTTTAGAAGTTTGAATATGCTCATGGGCCATTCGACATAACTCTGCTATTGGAATGTATGTGCGTTATCATGTTTTCTGTTAGTGTTTGTATCATAATATTTGAAGAAAACATTGTGAAAATTTAGAAGAATCGTGTTCTGTAACTAAAAGTGTGCACTTCACAATTCTATCTAGGATTAGTTTGAAATACTCGATTTTCTTTATATTATAATTAAAATGTGGTAAGTTCAAAATTCAAATTCATTTTTTTTGGGCATGCTGATATTTAAACTGTAGCGCAAAGAAGGTCGAGTAATTCAAACTAATCCTAAACGGGATTGTAAACTGCACACTTTCAGTTACAAAGCAGGATGCTTCTAAATTTGCACAATGCTCCCTTGAAGTATTATGACATATACAATAATATAAAAAACGGTAACATACTCACATTCCCGTAGCAGAGTTACGGTGGAATGGTCCTCATACATAACTGTACAAAGTTATAACAAAACTGAGATGTTGCATGTAGGAAAAAATACATTCTCAGCACATCAGATAGGATATCTAACGTAAAAAAACGATACATAATGCTGCTAAAGTTATAAGATCAGCATACTTAAAAGCATAAATGTTTCAAACTCTTTTATTCTACCTGTTTATAGCTTTTTAAATCATCAAGAGCTCAACGGCTTGTCTAGCTAACGGTCGCTTTTCTCGCTCTTTTTCAAAAACTATTGCAATAAAGCCACAAACTAACCTAAAATTACAACAATTAAACTTTTCTCTACAATATAAAAAAGTGTCTGGGCTCTGAATGTTGATTCGTTATGAAAATACAGCTGTTGTACAAACAATTTTCTTTAACCATGTTAAAAGTGACAGACTAACATAAAATGTGCCCGACCCAATTAGTATAAAATTGAGTGCAATTTAGAACGAGCAAAGTTGACGGGAGGGACGGTGTGAGAGTGAGTTGTCGATGAAACAAGAATACTTTATGTGCAACTATGAAAAACAGCTATATCAATATATCTCCGGCATCTTTTATAACATCTATATACCGATGAGAAAGAGCTTTCAAAACTTTTTCGTAACTATCAAAGTCTTTATCTTCAATATATTTTGTTTTTACTACTTTAAGCTTCACATGATTTTCATTTTTCTTGATCTTGTTGTACGTTTTCGAGCTTGAGAACAAAATTGCTGTTTCACCTCTTTGAGTTTTTGACCAAGTGAAGTTTGTATCCATTGTTTTAAATAAAGTCTGACCTTACTCTCCATGCTTCTATATTTATATTATCAATAAGGCAAAACTCCTGATCAAATTTTGCAATAACAAATCATGCTTTGTCATGACACTTTTCATTTTACAAAGAAATGTTTAATTGTTGTAATTTCAAATTAATTTGTAGGTTTATATTGCAATAATTTTTTAAAAAAACGCGAAAAAAGGGAGTCGTTAGCTGGACAAGCCGTCGATAGAACATCAAAAACATTTAATGAGAAAGTTTAAAAATTATAAGTTTCTCTATTTCAGTGTAAAATTCAGATACGTTTTGAAACTTTTTCAACTATGACTAAATTAAATTACGTTATTCATAACAGTTAAGAAACGATCACTACTCGTTTTAACTAAAATGTCTTTCACTGATACGTTAGTCTGTCACTTTTAACATGATTGAAGAAAATGTTAAATAACTTTTTTTTCTACTTACAGTAAAGACCGTGATTCGACAGCAGTATGTTAAGCTATAAAACCACCGATGATTGTTTACTATCAAAATACGATGTACGCACTATCAGATACAATTCTACGAATTTTCTTTCGATAAAACATGGAAAAATAAAGAAATTATGTAGAAAAATACCTAATCATTAAGTGTCTTTTTTGGATGTGTTTATCACGTTAAAGCAACGTATCTTTGTTCTTTTCTGTTTATGCAAGGTATCTATGACACATAATATTTTGCGTCGACATACGTGCACTGTATTAAACGCAAAAAACAAGAACAAAATAGAAACATCGGTCTTCGAATTCTTGTATGATTCAGTGTAGAGTGAAAAGAGAACACAGAATGAAAGGAGTACGTAAGCTAAGAAACTATGAAAATAATAAAGGAGAAGAACACACGTGTAACAAGTGAAAGTTGCCACATATCGAGACAAAACAAATTTAGCTAGAGCTTTTTGCTAGTTCGTGAACTGCTGGAGAATCGCTGCTTAAAAAAGTGATTATATTTTCAAATGCACTTTGCGACCAGTGATAAAATGATCTCACAAAAAGATGAACGTAGCCGGAAATAAATATTATTTTCAGAATGAGAGATGGGTCTTCTAAAAATAGCGGCTGGTTGAGTATATTTCTTTCCAATCAATTCACTCAATGTACGTAATGAAAATAAATCTTCTTTCTCATTTAAACTTGACGTTAGACTATATAACAATTCTATGTGAGCTTAAACAATGAAAAAACAATAAAATATTTTCAATAAAATGATTAAAGCAAATATAAATTACTTTAAACGTTTTCACCACGAAATACTTCTGACACCGATGATATTACCTAAAAAGAGAAATCAAATAGTATCATTTACTACTGTCTGTTTCAAAATACGATGCAGGTCTTACTTTTTTGAATAACTTTTGATAGAAACGAGATAGAGACCTGCGGTTTTCGCTGTTTGATAGCTAAGACTTGAGCGGAACTTTTCACAAGCAAAAACAATTTTTGAAAGATCGGGTGTTCAAAGGATCCTCGGAAAACCAGTTCCGTTCTCAAAAAACTAATATACAATGTAGTACTTTGTTTGCATGTGTAGATAGTCCAGATGTTACTTTACTAAATTATGCAAGTCTCGGCTCTCCAACCACCGTCGTTCGGACAGGGCTCGCTTTCCATGTCTATCTCCGAGCAGACATCTCTGGGAATCTCGAAATACCATGGAATATAGGATACCGACTACGCTGAGCATTGTGGCAACATTTATTTTTGTGTCGAAATGACTGTAACTTCGCTAGAGGCATTTTTGTGAAAAATCGGTTTTTCGTCTGTTACTAGCAAAAATTAATATCCTTATATCTCGATCAAAACCCATGCTGACTCAAGGAACCTTTCAGAAAAGATTTAAAAGGTATCAAATATTGTTGATCGCTGGTTCAGCAGAACACTGATGCGTTGATATTTTTTAGAAGATTTCTGAAAAACCTTAAAGCAATATCCGGCTGAAATTCACCTTTTCCGTTTTCGATTATGCTGTATGAGCTGTCCTGAGCGTTTCCTGAAAATTTCGTTGAGTCAGTTGCCACTATGCTCAGCGTAGCCGGTTTCCTATATTCCATGGCATTTCGAGATTCCCAGAGATGTCTGCTCGGAGATAGACAAGTGCTCGGGGAAAGCGAGCCCTGTCCGAACGACGATGGTTGGAGAGCCGGGACTTGCATAATTTAGTAGAGTAACATCTGGACTATCCACATATGCAAACAAATTACTACATTGTATATTAGTTTTATATTTATTTAATTGTGTGATAGGTTCAATTGTTGGCAATTTGTATTCAGTTAGCGTTGGTAATAGAAACAGTTGTTGATTAATTGTAGCACATGGATATCGAATATATTTTGGTTCAAATTTAGGAAGTCAATCATTACTAATGTATTCATCAAATAATTTCTTCTCAAACATTTGTTGTAGATAAGCGTATTCATGAATTATTGTTGACAAATCAATATTTTCGTCTAATAACGACTCATAAACAACTGTCGATGAACAAAGTAATAAAGAACAGATTCATATTAACAATAGATTTTTTGTAAATGAAGTACTGTAAATGAAACTTGTAATAAAATCAACACATTTTTCTATGAGTTTTTATTTTTCTAAATAATAAACATAGAACATTAATTGTTATTATCCATTTCAATTTCCATTATTGTTGATTCTTCCAGATTTTGTGAATTTGCAGTCACAAGTTAGCGGCTAACTGTCATATTCTAACAAAGTGAACGTATGAATAAAGCTCTACTGACAATCTCGATGTTAATGTAGTAGATGACAAGACGATGGTAATGAAATATTTATGGTTGTTACTGCCGAATCCAATTTTTTATTTGTACGATGCATCTTTATTTATAATACAATTATGAATAATAATTATAATTTCAGTACTCTTTCACAACTTTGTTTTCTTTTTCATCGTTCAAACTAATATTTTTGGAAAAAATTTGTCATAAAATTTTCGGCAAAAAAGAAAATGATTTTAAATTTCAATCTTGACTTTGTTTGTATTTAATAGATAGATATCTTTTACAATCATTTTCTGATAGTTACAGAAAAAACAATCACATTTTCAGTTAATAAAAAGTGATTATAAAACGTATCTCTAATAAAAAAAGGTTTTTCATATCTTAATAGGCAATGGATTAGATCTAATCAGTGTTTTTTGTATCGGTTAACACTTTTGCATGAGTTACAATTGAAAAGTTAATACGTTTTAAGTAGAGAACTTTATGACACATATTTTGCAAAAAATATCAATGATGATGAAAGGAGAAACTTTATTTGGAAAAGTATTCAGACTGTAATACACATTCTTTGTATGTTGGATGTTAGGAATAATACTACAAGTGAGACATTGATATTAGTGCAGTTTAAAAAACTTTAAAATCTAGTACCGTTTACTATATATTCGAATGTTTGTGAAAAAAACGTGAATGAATATTGATCATTAATCTATTCAACGTTTTTATTGAAAATCTTCGTGCAAAGTTGTTTCATCTCTAGTTTAAAGTGAAACACATTAGCGTTGGATTTTGAAATAAAAATATTTCTTTATA